AAGAGTGTATTATTTTTAATTAATCTTCCAATGTGAAGATGATTCTAGACTCTAATGATTTTTTCCCCCTAATCTTACCTCTTACATTATCAGTCTTAAGAAACTAGGGCTGCAATTACACATTTGTACTGGACTATTAAGATCTAGCTATAACCCAAAGGCTTGTTTCGGATCAGGAATAGGAACGGTAATAACAAAGAAATCATCAACAAAGAAAGGTCAAGACTGAAAAACAGCTTGGCAAGGAAAATAACTGCAACTCACAAAATATTTACCTGAAGTAATTTAAAAGCCATTCATTTCCCATACTCTTGCTGCTAATGCAGCCCTGCAAAAGAGTTTTTGATAAATAGCCTCTGTTTGAGGAGCTGCAATTATTCTTCTGTGTTTCTAGGTATCTGGCCCTTAGTTAAACTCTTATGGTCTTTAATTCATAATTATAATTATTCTTCCTGAATATTCTCGTGCCCTTTTACGAGTGAACCAATTAGGTGCTTTGCCAAACTACTGCTGCACTTCTGAATCTGTAGGACAGATGCAAACAATTTTGAAGAGTGAAAAAGCATGCATAAGACTAGCAGCAACTTCTGCGGATCCGACCCTTTCCACTGTACTCTCATGATCACGTCTTTAATAGAATCCAGGAATACTTCTTTGAAAATAGTAGACGTTCTAGAAAAGTAACTCCCAATGACTTTAATAGGACCCTAAAGGGATCTGTAGTAACAGACCCCATTTCAGTTCACTTCCAGGTTCAGCTGTTCAAAATGTTGCCTACTATGGCAAAATCCAGCTGGAATAGGCTTAAATTATGCACAAGCAGGATCTTCCAGGTTATTTTATAAGACTGTACTTTTCCCAGAACAGATAGTGCATAAAATAAACAATGCAATAATATTTTGTTTGTTCAGTCCCAGGCATTTGCTTTAGTAGAACACACATTAAAAAAAAAAAAAAACCTACTTTGAGTCCACATGAATTCATCCATTAAGTTCCAGCATGTTAATAAATCTAATTTAGCTAGCAGTTGTTGTTTTAAGTGACAGAGCTGCGCATTCATCCTTGTCCTCATTTAAGGGGCTGACTGAGCTCTCACACCAACTCAGCTTCCACACCAGTACAGCTTCTATTCCCAGCAGATCTACTGTCCCGACAGTTGTTTGGAGAGGCAGACCAACAATAACATGGCTGTGAATAGATTTAATTTTTATAGCTTTGCTTTCCCGCTTTTTTCTCCAACTGGCATGACAGAACCACGCAATGGGTCATTTTGAGAAGTGTTTTAACTTTTCCTCTCAAAGTCATGAGCACAATTTTATCAGGTGTAGTCCTACTGTTTTGGATCAAACCATCACGAAGCTAACACAAGAGTAGCAGCAAAATATACAACGCTTGCAGTACAGACAGGCAATGGTAGACACGGAGTCCGAAAGACATTAAATCAACAATACCAACTAAGAATTCCACCAAGCAAGAGGTGTCCTTCAGCTGGACATTGCACATGCTTGCTGTGAAAAGCAGTCTTTGTCCTCACGAATTTACCATTTAACTAAATGAGACAGAAACAAAAAGAAAAACAAGGCAGAGAAGTATTACAGTAAGAGGCACAGCATGGAGACGTTCACACCGACAGTCTGTAGTAGCACACAGAATTCTTCCCAAGCCTGGTGTTTGCCAACACATTGCATTTAGAAGCAGAGCGCATCTAGTAAGATTAGCCTTCCTACTCGAAAAGCAAGAGGACCTGAGCAAGTTCTTAGTTTTCCTGCTAAATAGAGGCTGATCGCTGGAACAGGACTTACTGCAAGATCAGCTAGGGTTCTTGCCTCCCAAAATAATGCTTCCAACTGAGTCATCAGCTCAAACTAGATGGATGCTTGGTTAAACTGGCAGCCTGAGGTCTTACCAGTGGAAAAGTCAGGCACCATATTACAGCTACAATTTTTTTCCCCTGAGCTCCTCATCCCACTGATAGGACTCTTTCTGAATCTATCTTCCAGAGCACTGCTGCCTGAGGCCTGGGTTAACAAGTCTTAAGGGATCCTCTTCTGGTTTTGTTGTCCTAAAACTCAGTTATGCAAATTTATACATAAGCTCCACTGACTCCAGCAGATCTAAAACTAACTCCATTCAAGTGAAGAATCCAGGCCCAAGGTCTATTTACTTTTTGGAAGTGTTTATGAAAAACAAACAACATCTAGGATCGTAAAAAAGATGTGCAAAATGCAAATACAAGTTGAGAGCGAGCAAAACTGATTCATAGTTTGTTCTCTGCTTACTTGGCCAGGGTCACTTTTCCAAGTTCCCAGTCCTATGAGAGGCATCTTCTGACCAGTGTGGAGCACAACGAAGTCACATGCTGCAGACATTTTTGCCTACAGAAGAACAAGGGAGGAAAAAAACCCAAAGGTTTTGTAGCAATTTGATAAGTTGCAACAATTTACTTTTTCTATGCTAAGAAGAAAAATCATAAAGGCCCTGATAATGGCTTTATTGTTACACTAGAATAAAAGTAAGGTAGGTTCTTCCTAGCTTTTACTGGTGCAAAGGAGTACAGTAGCTACCTGAAGAGCCTAGAACAGAAGCCCTTTTTGTCTCTTCCTTCTTACTCTCTTTTCTCCTCTACAGCACGCAGCTTGAAGATTTCTCAGAGTCGAGAGGCAAATCACAAAGCAGTGTGCAATAACATATACTTAATACAGGTCAGGTGAAAACTTTTTTTTAATTAAAGAAGTCAGCTGTAAGCACTGATCGGGCAGAAGGGGGCAAGAGATGTTTTTGTTAGCGCTTAGCATATGGTAATTCCATAGGACTCAGGCACTAAGCTAGCTAGTGCCTGGCTCAGGAACCAAGCTTGAATTACTGCTGCAATTAGGAATAAGCAAACGTTGTCTACAACATCTGCTGCAGGTTAAGATTTGAAGACCTGATACAGGCAGGGTTTTGATTAGGGATGCATGGTGAAGGCATTTGTGAAAATTGAACTAGAGCTTACTATCAAGGCTAACTCTATCTGGCATTCTGAAGAAAACCTAATACTTTCTGGCTTGCTTTGCAACTAGCATATCTGTTCATGAATTAATGACACATCTGCGAAAGGTAAAATGTTACTAAGTCAGAACATTAGTGGGGGGTTTTTTGATCGTTAGGGGAGGGCAAAACGGAGCCACTTTCAACAGTGGACACCAGAAAACAAATCTCAGTAGGCAGATCACACAAAACTGGTGGATACATAATTTATGGGGTTTTTGATCACCCTGTGACATAGCAGTGCGAAAAATAGAGCTAAAACGCAGTAGGTCCTTACACAGATTTGGGCATTTTGAATCCCAGAATAACTTTCTGTCTTCCTGCTCTTCTCTGTCTTCCTACTCGATCAGAAAGGGATACTATTTTTTTTAAAGATGAAAGATTGTCTGTTCCCATATCACTGAAACCATGTACGTGTACTGAACCTTTTTTCTGCAGAAAATTAGAGAGTAAGAGCTCAACTCTTGCATGGAACGTTTCGAGTACAGACAACGTAACAGCTATTATTGCCATTGTAGAAAGGGTCATACACTGATTTAGCACAAATTCACAGAGCAGCAGCATTCTTTTCTTGCTAAAGGGAGAATGGCAAAAAAGGATGCAAAGCAAATAGCCGTTTTGAGCCTGGGCTTCTCTCTCACGCTTAATACTATGATAGCCAAGCGTTTCCCATGTGAAATTCAATAGAAGATCCTACTGGAACCTTTGTTCGGTTTTCAATTGCTGGTGTTATAGCTGTTGCACCCAGCAATCTGCTTACAGTGGAAAAGCTTTTTAATCAAAAAGGAAGGTTTTGCAGTGTATTCCAACATCCTCACAGTACATCTTGTGAAATTATTAAAAAGAAACCACATTCAGGATGTGTTCCAGAGCCAGCTAGCCTATTTCAGCAGAAGCTGAGGAAGTTGTTTCTCAAGTTCAGCAATGCCCAAACTAGTTTTGTATTTTCAAACAGATAACATTCACAAGAGCGGAAGCATGCAACGCTGGTTTTCAGATCATCTATGTAGGAGGAATGTATGTCTTCCAAGTAAAGCATTCACACAGCACACTACCCCAAAATAGCTCTGCCTTTTCCACAACATTGTGATCACCTTCCTCATACAGGCAGTCCTTACTGACAGATTTGGTAACACAGAAAGTTTGTATTTTTAATTTCACGCTTAGCTTCTCAGGGCATATTTTGGTAGATTTACGCTACATAGACACGTAACAGCACGCTTGTTTTACAAAGAGACAGAGTAGTTCAACATGAATTAGTGGTTTGGGATCTGCACTGAGATGCATTAAGTCAATATGTTGGTGTTGAAGGCAGTCACTGTTAATTAGATTGTGGGTGCACATGGGTTATTTGAGGTAAGAAGTCAGAGAAGCAGAACGCGACACTGAACATGTGAACAACATTCCCTGAATCAGCGTAGCTGTTTTGCAGGCAGTGCACACAAGTGGACACTCATATTTTTACCTGGATGTAACCACCTAAATAAAAGCATCTCCTCAAATCATGCAATGCAACTAGAAACTTTTTGATTTACCTTGGCCCATAACACAAATAACATACAAACTACCACACTTCACACAAACATCTTACACAACCATCCTAAACGTAGCACTTCAGCCCAGAAGACAAGGTACATGTGTTTAATCAGTAACTGGCATCAGCACATTTGCAAAGAATCATTTCACTTCATGTAACAGTGTTGTACATTAACATCGCAGAGATAGCAGAAGTAGAGACTCTGGAAGAATGGAAAAGTTCCAGAACTAGACACTCTAGAAGAACAATTAATACTTTCCACTCAGACTCTTCTCCTAACAAGAGGATGTAAGGAAACTACAGTGTCCACTCATCATCACTACTTGGATCAGTAAGAAGTGGGAAGCTTTTTTTTTTTTTTGGTAACACTAAGAACAAAAATAAATATAAAAGCACACCAATTCTGAACAAGTAAAATGTGGGTTTAGATTAACAACACTTGCCTCTCCTGTTCCCACACTCATCTAGAGGAGTAAAGCCCCGAGTGATTCAAAAGCCACGTAGGTAGCCTGACTGGGAGTAGTTATTAATAACCAGAAAAGTGTAACCTACATTAGTTTATCAGCCTATAGATAAAGCTCATTTTTAATCCAAAGTAACGACTCTTCCACCTTCAAAAAAAAAAAAACAAACCAAAACAAAACAAAAGTGGAAGAAAACACAGAAGCCCCGGTACGCGATCGCCTTTGCCCGGCAGTTCGGGTACCAGCTCCCCACGCCTGGGCGCCTCCTCATCCCTCCCCGAGCTCCGGCGGCGCCCGCAGCAGGGCGGCGCAGACGGACACGGACACGGG